CATTTTGTTAAATTATAAGAATAAACTATAAATGAAAAACATAACTAAGAAGAGTATATTCACAACATAAGGGAAGAAATGAAGTCATGTTCTGGGACTTTAAATAGGGTGCGGTCCACTGCTCTAGGCTGCTCCGTCAATTTGTACATAACATCCTGTTTCAAGACTGTTTGTACATCTGGTTTTGAAGGCCAGAGGAAGAGATCGTTTTTTCTTTGGTGTTTGACTAGAAAGTCAACTAGTAGGTTTTGAGGATTTACTTTCTGCACAAAACCTGAGGAGCAAATAGACAATTTATTATTTGTACATTTTTGTCAACTAATTTTACTTTTACTTTAGTCACTTACCAGGATACCAGTGAGCACCATATTTTACTGCAACCCAATCTCCGTTACAGAATGAAGCTACTTTGCTTTTACGTTTCCTTTTTGGGGGTGAAGGTGAAGCTGTGGGAGTGTTTTCATCACTTTCACCAGCTTGTTCAAAAAGCACCCAGGGACTATATTTCAACTTGTAATGTATACAAGAACTGCCTGCAGTACAATTGTAGCAGCTTACATTATTCATGTGCAGCTTATTGGAGTATTCTTTAGTCCAGGTGAACTGGTGAACACTAAATGTACCATTGAATGGCTTCAAATCAGAGGGTACCATCTTGTCTATTTCTGTCATTTTCTTGGGGTCCACTTCTTCAATATATACTGTCTTACTTTTACTTTTCAGTAATTCAACAGCACTCTTGAAGGACTCCATATCCAGGCCTGATTGAACTGCATTGTCAAGTGTTGTCTTTGCCATTGCTCCTACCCCATCTGGTGCACCCTTCCCATGCCCTGCCTCTGTATAATTATACACAATGCTAGTGATTTGAGGGTAGAGCATGGGAATATATTGGGTTGTCAAAAAAAACATTACTTTGTTACGATATTGGGTAGAAGGTGAGTCACTTTGAAAATGCAATTTGGTAACGCCAGGCTTTAAAAATTTTTCAAAGATGGGAATCAAGTGAGCAATGGTAGCAGGAGGATCTTTCCTTGTACTTTCAGAGGCTGTACAAAATGAATGTTTCTGTCCTTCTAGGTACAAAACACCTGTGTGTAATGATACATTATCTCGAGAACCAGCATAAAAATGGTTTTGTACTTCTCTGCTAAATTTACACGAATAATTTTCAGAATAGTCCATCCAAATGTACATTTCACCTGAAGTTAGATTTTCTCTCTTGTTCCTCAAAATTCTAGTTTGATGAGTCTCTTTAAAAGAATGATCTAGAAATATTTCAAGCTCTTCAGGATAGATTTTTTTCAGTGCCTGAATAGACACTTTCTTAACTCTTCTGAAATTTCTTTTTGTTTCCTTCTGTACACCTGTCTTGCTGTCTATTTTCATTTCAGGTAAAGTCTCCCACTTACTTAAATTAACTTCAACATTTTCATTTTCACAGGGCCTAAATGCAACTTCATTTGTCTTACATTTGTTACATTTTCTTTGTAAACAGTCATCTGTTCTGGGTGAGCAACACAAAGATCTTAGTAATGATAAATTGGTACTCACAGGAGAAATGCCAGCTTGCCAAAGAGACTGCATCAAAAGTTCCATGTTTTCACACTTTGTGCATAAACAAGTATCTCTCTCTTTGAGATCCTTCATCACAACATAAAATGGCTTAAACTTGCAAAATGTAGAATATGAAACAGGTTTCTCATCAGACTGAATATATGACAAATACAAATCACTCATTCTGCCTTTAAGATACCTCTTCCTTTTTGTCACTCTATTTTTACCAAAACAAATTTTAACAGCCCTTTTGTCTGCACATTCAATGCTGTTGTCATCACTACAGAAGAATTTTTCTACATCTGCTTTCTTGTTTATTGAATGCTGACGGCGAGCCCTTGAATTTTGAAATGGACACATATTTTTTTCTGAATACTTTTTCAGCATTTTTGGTGACAGTCCTGATGCACCTTTTAACTTATACTTTTTTAGAAGACTGCCTCTGAATATTTTGTATGCTGCACCTTTTATTTTATTGCCTTTCACACTAAAGCTTTCTGTCACTTGCCGCTTCAAAACTTCTCCAAGGATTAATTTGCCTTTCACGACAGGATTAATTTTTTTACCTCTCATTTCCTTGTTGATTTGAGACTTGGGAGACAAGGGAATTTTTTTTCTAGCATTCGTCAATCTCTTCTGGGACCTCCACAGTGCTCTTTTAAGTGCTGCATTTTCTTCCTGCACCTTTTTCACTTTTTTATGTGCAGCGGTCCTACTAGCACTTTTCTTTTTCCTTCCCCGCAACCGCAAAGTTTCAGCCTAGTGAAAAAATAAGATAAAACAGTTTTATGAGGGTTGCTTACTTAGGGATCTATTTAAAATTTTCAATACTGTTTATACTTACTCTGGTTGTTAGGGGTACATTTTCCAAAATTTCAGCCCCAAACTCATCATCTGGATTATCTTGCAGCTCAGTGCTCTGCTGAACTAACTTCTTTCTCCTGTAACGTCTAGTGCTTTCTTTAACTCTACACCTTATCACCTTTAATTCTCTCCGCGACATTTCCCCTCTGGTTTTAATTTTTCCTTCTTGTTTTCTACGGTGGTATCTCTCCCTTTCTTCCTTTTTCTTTAACTCATACAGGTGAGGATCATTTTTAATGTCTTCCCTCTTTACTCTCATGTTAATTTTTCTTCGAAGTCTGTTCTTGGTTTCTTGTTTTTTCTTAACTTTTTGCTTCTTAGACTGTAATTTAGCTTTTGCATCATTTATTTCTTTGGCTATTCTCTCCTTCTCCAACCTTTGCTCTTCTGCTTTTTTTCTCCTCTCCTCCAGCCGCTGCTGTCTTACTGACTTCATGTCAACACTTCACTGCAGTGAAGTGGCACTGGAACAGATACAAAATATCAGCTGTTTCATTCATTTGTAATTCAACGAAAACCTAACCTCACTTTCTTTTGGTTATATGTTCACAGTTGACAGCAATCTGCCCGTAATTTATCATATACCCGCCCTCTGAGGAATAATGATAATGATATGTGGTAGTTCTTGTCAGAAGGACACGGAGTTCACAAAAGGAAAGAGTTAAATTCAAGTATTACCAGTTAACCGTGATGGCTAAGACAGTGTGGGTTTCGGACAAGTTGTAGAATGTCATTAGACAGTTTTTTATTCAAACAATTCTAAAAAAGAATGCTGCCTCATCGATCTCGAGGCGACACGGGGTTCACAACTAAAAAGCGTACTTACCAAAATCAGAATTTCCAGCTCGCTTTTCAAATACTCCTTGCGGCACCACCGCCTACACTCTTGGGCGAATAATCGCGGACAAGTAGAGCATTTTAGCCAACTTACTAATATTTTGTAAAAATATCCCGTTTAACCGCGGGAGGAGTATCCTGTGAACTCCAGAACTTTTCCGAAAAGTTAGTGAGAACGACTTTGGTCTCGTCCTGAGAAACTGTAGTGAAGAATTTATGGATTTAAAGACACGGCTAATGTCCACTGGATATCCCTTTTCAAATTTAAATACCCCCCAAGTACATTGGCCTTGCGCAACTACTCGAAAAACAATAAAATCTGAGCGAACTCGGACATTAGGAAAGCCACGGAGTTCACATTTCGAACAATTGCATCGTCCTGCACGCCCCGTCTTTCACCATTAGTTAGATTTCAACTCACAGCCAAGTAGAGTATGTACTTTGACATGACTTCACGGTGAAAAAGTGTTGGAAACAATTAGTGTGTAGCTGTAAGGGGACGCGGAACCCAAACGGCCCGTATTCTGAGAATCACCCTCTTATGGACTTCGCGGCGAAAAAAAATGGATTCCCTTCATACCTGCCTCTTTTGCGTCATCGACATGAATTTTTGCCATCAGCCAGCCGAGGCAGCGTCGTCGTCGGCAGCAAAGCAGCAGCTTTGACTTTTCTCGCGCGTCCCAAACCTGCGGGGCAGAGATGAGAACCCACCACTCTGTTGTGTGTGCGTTTGTGTGTGCGCGCGCGCAAGCGAGCGTGCGTGGAAAAGGAAAGGAGAGAGCAAAAAAAGTGTTGTGGAAAGGGAGAGAGAGAGCAGGGAAGAGGAAGGGAGAGACAGACTAAAACGACCACCGGAATACATCAAGAAAAAGAGAGGGGGAGAGAGCGGGAAGGGGCGAGAGAGCAGGGGGGAAGCGGTAGGGGGCAGACACATTATCGAATTAGGTCTCCCTAATTTTTGGCTAAGAGAGACACAAATTGGCGGTGCCTCCATTAATGTGAGCTGCTGAGCGGCGGCGTGGCGCGGCGTGGCGCGAGAATGTTTCTGTCGTGTGGGCAGCAGCGGCCGGCCCGGCCCGCGCCCGCGGCCCGGCGGCGGACAGCGCATGCATGTTAATGGGCCCGGGCCAGTCTTGCACGGCCACGCCACGCCACGCCTTGATTGTCGAATCACAACACTCCTCCCTCCCCCTGCTGCTGCTGCTGCTGCGCTACCCGTTTGTTTGCGCGCGTCCCGCACGTTGACATAGGTATAGATTTCCGTCCCTTCCCTTTCCCCGATAACGAAACAACAACGACGATGTCGGCAAAAAAAAGGGGGTGAGAGAAAAAAGGCGGTACGGCAGCGGGCCAGCCTGCTGCTGGCGCGGTGGTGGTGTTGGCGGACGTGTGCTGCTGGTTCGTATTTGTATTGGTATTCAAGCGGGCGATTCCAATCTGAATCAAACGATGCGCGGCGAGTGCGTGACAGCAGTGCTCCCCCCCTCCC